CTACCAAAAAAAATTAGTAATAATATAATAGGGCTTGAAGGGCTGTTCGGACCTGAGCCTTTTTTTGAAGAGCTTTTCAATGCTAAACCCTCAAGTCTGATTACTTTAAAAAAAATCATTTTCAAAGCTTGAATCTTTATTTAAACAGAAACTTCAAGCCTGACCCGCCAAACCCAGCTCTTACTTCCGACTCTAGCCAAAGCCTTGTTTATCTATCCCTCTTTCAATTTATAAAAATTATGAAGAATTACACATATTTTCTTTTATTTGGAATTTATATGTAATTCTTAAAAAAAAAACTAAATCAGCAAAGTAGTGTCATAGAGTGTGTTAGTGTTATACATACATACATACATGTTGTATGTGTTTTTACTGAAGAAAATGTGCAAGTGTTTTTTCATATACGATTTAGCAATAAAACATTATAAAAAATATAAATTTGCATGTGCATTTGCCTATATTATTTTGATATGTTAAATATTGAACTTTTATGCTCTATATTTTTGCATTAGATATAATTTTTTCCAAACTTCGGACGACGTAACTTATGACATACTTGTATCACACTCTACTACTTAAATAATCAATCAAATAAAACTAAAGCATTATTCATATATGACTTAATACGATTTGAGAAATTAAACAAAATTTAGTATGATACATTACAATGAATCTTGCAGTCGAAGAAATTAAAAATATCCATATTAAAAAAAGGAAGAGAGAAAGAAACATGGTTGAATCATTGTTGAGACGCGCATGGACATGTCATATATTGAACTCTCAACTGTCATCCATATCCATCTACAGGAAAGAACTAAAGGACCCACCTCACTTTACTGTTCATTACCAACTTACAAATCTGCCCCAACAAGAAAACATGATCCTTCTTTGCCATTGAGTTCATTTTCTATCAAAAGCGTAGTATACAATTTCAGGTCAATTGTTAAATTAGTGTGGTAACTGATTTAATAAAATGTTGTATTTATAATTTGTTTAATTATAGTTCATTCAATCATAATTTTAATTATTAACTATTTAATTAATATTTTGATTGGTTTAATAAGATTTTGAATACTATATATATTAAAATAAACTCCAATTCTCTAATCTCTCTGATTCAAATTAAACAAAGGGCTCTGAACATAACTGGTTGTCTCTGCGGGTCCCACCGGGAAACTTTGACCCTGGCCCCACATCCCTCTTGACCAATTGACCAATTGACCAAGGGACATCTTTAAGAAAGCAAACTGTAGAAAATAATGACCCAACAACTGAAATATCTTATTCAAACAGGAAAGAAAGCTGAAAATGCTTTCGTTAAATTAAAGATGAGAGTGTTCGTTAATTTTCCCAGTCAAAGCATCAATAAATATTTGCTTTTCCCTTCACCAAGCTGCAGTCCGTCCTGGATGGAGAAAAGAATGTGATAATGCATACCCCCTTCATTTAAAAATATAATATATATTTTAAAAATTTAAATATTTTAAAATATAATTAATTTTTTTAAAGTGCCTGTAATAAATAAATTTTTTATTTATTTTAAAAAAAAACATTCTATTAAATAAAAATAAATATAAAAAGATAGTATTGATTTAAAAATAATTAATTATTTTATTAAAAAATATGATTGAATTAAAAATATTTTATATTTTTAAGTTAAAAAAGTAAGTTTTTCTTTTTCATAGCTTTTGCAATTTGCAAAAGTGACTTCATATATAACGATTCTTATATCGAGTATATAAAAGTGAACAGGATTTAAAAAGAAAAAAGAAACAGTGATTAAGGTTATAACCACTCTCATAATTTATTTAGGAAAGAAAAAATTAATTTACAAGTTTTTACATTTTTTTTAATTTTACATTAGGTACTTGTAATTTTTTTTTAATCAAATTCTAAAAAATTGATCACTTAGATTTTTTAGTTCCTAAATATTAAAATATTTTAATTTTTCTTTTAAAAAATTAAATTAATAAATTTTATGTTTTTATTAAAATACTATATAATTTTAGAATTAATTGCATAATTTTATAACTCAAAATTTATATAATTAGATTATGTACGATCTTTTAACTAACTTTTATACATATAGAATTTTTATAAAAGATTTAACAGAAATGTAAAATTTAATTAAATTATTTTTTCTTTTTTTCCAAAGTTAATAAATCAATTTTTTTATAAACGCTATATCATATTTTTGTTTTGAAAAATTTAATCATTCAAAATAGTTTTAACTATCAAGAATTAATAATTTTAATAAAGCATATATAAATGCTTGGTTAAAATAAAATGAATTATGGGGACTTAATTTAAAATTAAGAAAAATTATAAAACGGTATGAATTAATTTTTGTTCTTGAAAGAACTCAGAAACTTTCACTATAAAATTTTAAAACAAGAAAATTTACAGAACATTTTTATACACAAATTTCAACAACAAAAAAGATCTCGACTTGAATTGAATAATCAAATCTCAATCTGTATTAAACTAAATATCCCAACAATTCGTATCCTTCCTCTCGAGTATTTTAACTACACTATGAAAATTCAGCTCAATTCTCCTGCTAAGCTAGTAAATCATTAAACTAGTATATTAATTAAATTAATAAAATGCTTTGTTTATAAACTGGATTCATCACAGTCTAACTATAATTTTAACTATTAGCTCTCAAATAAATATCTTGATTTATTCAATTTTCACTACCTTGATTCTAACATTTAATCAATGGTTACATTATTTAATATCAAGTGCAATAATCTAGTTGGGTACGCTATATAATTACTTGAAACCCAAGGTAACATCAGGAGGTAGACCTGTATTATTCTCAAGCCTCTCAACAACATAGTTACGCGAGAGTGATCTCTGTTGTAATAAACTATGAGAAGCGATCTCTTTCTTTCTTTCTCTCTCTCTCTCTCGTAATGAAGTGACTAAATATGGCCCCATGTGTATATACTTTATATAACTTAACCTACGCTTGAGGTGGTCCAGTTTACGCGTAAATTAAGCAAGCATATCAGCAAGGCCAAAAGAGGCTACACAAGTGACTTTTCCCAGAACCGCACTTCTTGGTTTATGATACAGGGCAAGGGGTACTTCTTATAACATTTTTTCCCATTATACCTTTATTTTATACACCTTTAATCTTATTTATAAAGCAAAAAAATAATATTTATTTTTATCCTATTTATAAAATATCTTTATTATTATTATTATATTTATTTATACCATTTTGTCCCTATTAAATGAGAGGAAGTTTATTAAATATTAAAATATTTTATTTTAAAGTAGGTATATTTAATAAGGATAAAGTTAAAAATAAATAAATTTTTAGACAGAGTTAATATGGTTTAAATTTTTTTTTAATTTTGATAAAAATGTTAAAAGTTACTTATAAATAAGACTAAAAGAAATATATATCATTCCTTTTAAAAATGGTCCATTGGATTTTAATTATTATTTTTAAAGCATTTATATGGAACATATATTTAATGAGTGTATGATTTAAAAATATATAATTATTTTAAATATTAAGGTTTCGACTTTAAAAAAAAAACCGTGAGTGACGACACAACATGTGAATGCCCCTTGCACACTCAGTAATAATTTCTATTTTTCATGAGTTCACTTGTTGCTGGTTCTGTTTCAAGGGAAATATGTACAGTACAAGTTGACATTTTGACTTGGATGTCATTTTAGTCATATAATTTTTCACTCGATTTGTGGAGATTAAGAAGGTGGTGTCAAATTGGGCATGGATTGAGGCCTTGAGGGACACCCACATAGGTCGTTTTCTTCATGAGCTCATTCATCTTATCTATACTTATCCTCTTCCTCCCCAGGGCTCCGCTTACTCAACCACAGGTCTTCAAGAATGTGCTGGAATCCAATTTAGTCTCCACACAGTTACTGTGCAATCAAGTGGATAAATTGGGGGCCCTCCAACCAACAACACACACGTGTCCTCAGAAGGAGACACCCCAACGTTCATTGAAACATGAAATTTGATTTCCAAATTAAATAAATATATTTTAAGACTTTGCATAACAAATTGGGTAACCTATGTTGTTTTTTATTACACACAGTTAGAAATAAGTATATTTAAGATATGATTAAATATTAGTTGTAAATAAATTTTTTAATAAAAATTTAAGTATTGATTTACCATGTACGAGAAAAACTAATTTTTTTGACTGAACTCCGACTAGGTGGGTAACCAACATGCTAGTCCTACATCAATTAGGATTTTAAGGTAATGTTCCCTGAACATGCTTTTTAGATTTATTTTCATTTTTTAAAAAAATAATTAAGTTTCAGGAACTCATTAGATCATGTCATGTTTTTTAAGTTCAAAAACACTTTTAAATATACTTATAACTTTTTACAGCAACAAAATTTGAACTAATGACTTTATAAGTTTTGAGACAAATACATAATCCCTTCATTTTTAAACACAACAATAACTAGCACGTATCCTTTTATTTTTATTTATAAAAGCTATAAATTTCAAGAAATATTTATTACATTTTTCAAAAAACATTAACTAAACAAATTTACTTCATTAATTCAAACCAAAAAAAACTTTATTTAATTAATTATAGGCATAATTTAATTCATTTTTTAATTTTAAACATAATTATTATACCTAATCATTTTTCTTAAATGGTATAAATTGATCACTTCCTCCGATATTTGAAGGAAATACTTTTCAACTAATACGCCTCCCTATATTCATTTTTATTTTTCTATTTTAGTTATTACTAATTCTTTTAAGCTTTCACCTTATCTCTCGGTAGGTTCTCTCATTTTCTACCTTTGGCCTCCAGTCTCAACCATCCAACTCAATTATAAATTGTAATTATCATATCAGTCCACCGCCATGGAAGCCTCCAGCTTTAAAATGGTTAGCATATTTGATGTGATAGAATGCCCATGAGCCTCCCGCTTTATCTTCCCTTGAACCAATCTTCTCTGCCCGCAAAAAGAAATAATCGACTCCTACAAAACAAACAACCACTGATAATATTATTAAATTGTTTATAATATCATTCAAGATAATTAACATTATCATATCAAAATAAAAAATATTAATCATAATTGACACTTGATTCTCATATACAATCTTACAACCAAACTCAATTTCTAATTAAATTGTGTAAATGATCAATTCACAGAAATATGGAAGAGATACGTATTCGACTGAAGCCACCAAATACAGTAAACCACGGAGCCAAAAAAACACCACTAACGCCAAGCTTCCAGTGTCAAAATGGAAGACAGAGGTGACGAGGAACAGAGAGATTACAGAGGAGTCAAGAGTATTCACAATAGATTTATCTTAGAATAAGTTAATTTTTTCTGGAATCAAAATTATGTACAATTAGTTAGATAAAAATTGGTCCAAAAGCTCAAGAATCGGAATTAATGGCAGCCCCTAACTCCTATTTGTTCAACATGTATAGACACACACAATATATATATATATATATATATATTCAGAGATTCAGTCCTCTATCGGATTTCGGTTTCCGAAGTGCGAAAAAAAGTCCGCTCCGAATTTCTCCCTTGCAGAGGTCAGATCACAAACAATTTTCCTGGAATCTGACGCCGACTCTGGCGCTCTGAAACATCAAAGCCATCAAATGAGTAGCTATCCGAGCCGGTGCTCAAGAATCTTCAGCTTTGGACATGACTGACAGCCGGCTCGGTCTCGGCTGGAAATCAGCTCGCCTTTTTTGCTGATGCGACGACGGCCGAATCAACGCAGCCAAGGCTCTCTTCACCAAATCCCCTTCCACGCCACCGATTCTCACCACCGAGTTCGTCATCGCCGATCTGCGCGCGTTGAGCCTGTTAGGCGAATAAGGAGCCACCGAATTAGATCCAAAATTCTTGTGAAGGCTGCATCGGAAGGAGCCAGGGTGCGTAGTAGGGGAGCACATGCAGGTTCGCTTCTGTTGGCTCTGCCTCTTCACCACCTGGCCGGAGCTGGAGGAACCGGCGGGAGGCCTGACAGAGATGGAGCGGTTCGGAGAGGTGGAACGGTCGAGGGAGAACTGGACTGATGGAACTGAGGAAGAAGGACCGCAGAGACTGACACGCGAAGGTGAAATGGAACGGCTGAAAAAGCTGGAGGTGGAAGATGCGAAGGCGGAGGAAGACGGAGAGGAAGAGGAACACAAGTGAGGATTGTAGAATCTGCCAGAAGGTGAGAGAGAGCGGAGCACTGGTGCGCTTGATTTTCTAGAAGATGCCGCCATTTTCGTCTTTGGTTACAGTAGACAGAGAAGAAGAAGAAGAAGAAGAAGAAAAAGAGCGGAGTTTGGCTTTTCTCTTTTCGAAAAAACCGGATTCAGCTATCTGGTTTGGCAAACCTGGCTTAACTTGAGGTATGCATTTATAGGGAGTTTGAAGTGAGTCGGCAAGACTAAACTGCAATATATTTTCAGTTTGGGGTATCTACTTTGAGCTATTGTGTCTAAGACCCCTGAGATTTTTTCTTGTTATTTACGTGTGCCACTCTCATGTACACAAGTGGTTTTTTTTTTTTTTTTTGGTTAGTATTAATAAATGAATTAATTCATGAAATATAAAAATGTCATATTTTTATAAAACTAGACTTACTCCTGTGTTGCACAGTTATTTATTTCAGAAAAATGATAGAAATAATTGAGATAACAACATTTACAAAAAGAAATTTAAGTAAAAATGTTTTGATATTAGATAAAATGAAGTTTAGGCTTAACATATACTAAACTTTTAGAGTAGATTGAATAAATATTCGACTTATGTGCTATATTATCCAAAATGATGTTGGCTTACTAATCGTCCAAAGTAAAATTGTCAAATATTAATAATTAACTTAAATTCGTAGATTGTCGAGCATAATTATGAAATATCTCCCTCAATTTATATGACTGTCATAAACTTTTTTTTTATTTTACTTAAAAGATGTGTGTGTGTGTGTGTGTGTTTTTCACTTGGTCTAACCTCATAAAATATTTCTTTTTTCCTGCACAAAAATGAGACAAAAACTATTTAGATAAGTGAAATCTTAATTGATTTCACAATTCACTTAAAAATTAAAATTACAAAGAACGAAGAAAGGGGAGGGGAATCTCAAATAAAAAAAGGGGGGGGGGGAAGAAAGAAAGAAAAATATTTATTCACAATGGATAGCTTTCATTTCTTCAAAAATTATGATATAACGGCGTGGATTTTATTTTCGTTTGGTGTAATTTATTTTTTTAAATATTATCCTTTTTATCTAACGATTTTGAGAAAAGCAAAAAATAAAACAAAGCAAAACAAAATAAGATGTCTAATGCAACATGACAATTGTTGTGATAGGTCGGCTAAAGTTGGGATATATGTGTGTGTGTGTGTATTTGAGAAGGTGGGAGCATAGTTGTTAAACTCTTAAGTTGACTTTATGAGTTTAACATTTTTACATTTTTAGCTTATAAAATTGTGTTAATTTATTTATAAATTCGAACTAAATACAAACTTAATTAAACTTACAAATTTACCTCTGAGCTTACTATTTTTATGTTTCTAATTTATAAAATTGTATTAATTAATTTATAAATTTGAATTAGATGCAAGCTTAGTTAAACTTGTTAAGTTCATCAATTTTTTTTTTTTTGAGTCGAACAAGTTAAGTATATACTATAAAAAATTCAATTCATAAAAGTTATAAGACTTGGTTGAAAGAAAAAACCTTGAAACGTAAAAACTAATATTAATAAAAAAGAAAACAAAAATATCAAAAATAAGTTCCCTTATTTTAAAATTTTTATGTCTTGTATATGATAATTTATTAATGTAGATGAGTTTAATTTTAATGATTTATATTTTTAATATATTTAAATTAAATTACAATAATATTTTAATGACTATTTATCAATAGAGGTAAACTCTTATGGATTTATAATATGAGTTTACATTCCTATCATGAATTTATTTAAATTTATGAATTTAACAACCCTGGCTGGGAGTTTAAGTTCAGGAATTGTCTATAGAAGTTCCACTTTGTTATAATTAAATAACATTAATTATATAATAAACTTCACACAGTAATTCATTTACATAATCATAATAATTGAATAATAGACTCTACCTTACTTTACGTGATAAAATGTTATGAATAATGAAACATAAAACTTCGATATATGACATGGTATTATCTTATTAATAAATAATCTTCTTATTTCATTTAAAAATATAAACAATGTGAAAAAAAATTAAATACTTAAAAAATTTTATTATATTATTTTGCATCAAAATAAAATGGGGTCCCATGTCTTTCCATCAAATTTAAGTTAACCCGCAAACTTTTATGGTTTGTATCAATAGATTTTTTAAAATACATAGCCTTGGGTTACAACATTTGATTCGCATTTTATTATAGATTTTTGAATTTTTTTTATATTTTAAGTTTTTAAACTTTTGTTTTTTGGTGTTTCAAATCGCTATTAAGTCCCTACATTTTATTCATGGAGGGACATAGTGAAGGAATTTAAAACACCAAAAAATAAAAGTATAGAGACATAAAATATAAAAAAAAGTGTAGAGACTTATAGTAAAACGCAAGCAAAATATAGGAATTTAAAGTTATTTTTTTCCTAATTTTTTTAAAATAATGAATATAGATTAAATTCAATTAAGCACCATGATCAATAAAAATAAAAATCATGTGAATTTAAAGTGTCACTATATATCAACGTCATAAATGAATTCTAGTAAACCTTCAGGATTTGGTTTACCTCCACTGCATTTTCCGTTCACTGTACCTCTATTGTAAATATAAATCATTCAAATTAAATTAAACAATATAAATTAACCTGTATTTTTAAAAGGTATCAAATTTAAATCAATACAAATTTAATTTAATGATTTAGACATGCAGAACTCCATCTACTGTAATGCAGGAAAGCCAGCTTCGAAAGTCTAGAGGGATGTCATGGTCATGGCTTGTTAGCTGAGGTGTGTGGGGATCGGTTATGGAAGGTTGTGGTGGTGGTGATGGTTTGTGTGCCACTCCATAAAAAATCTCACCGTTTTCTGTTTCATGAAACCTCTGGCCAGCCCATTTCAAAGGTATTCTCTCCCTTCTTCTTTCAATACAAAATGTGTTTTGTTTTTTTTTTTTAAGGGTGCTTGTTTTCTGATCCTAATTATTGTAGCGGTAAATTTTTAAAGTTATATTTAGTCATAAATAAAAGGCAAATAGGTAGTACTTGAATTCTTTTAGACTTATCTCTACTTAATTAATTACTCAAGATTGTTTACTTCTCTAATCTTATTTATAAATTATTTTTAATATATTTTACTAAAACTAAAAAAAATTTAAAAATCATTAACTCTGTTTAGAAATTTAACAAGTTATCAACTTTATCTCTATTAAATATACTCCCTCCGTTTAAAAATATAAAGTATTTTTTGAGAAGGTAGATGTTTAAAAGTGTAAGGTATTTTTAATTTTTCGAGGTGTAATCATTGCCTTTTTTTAAAAAAATATTTCTATTGATAATAACTTTATATTATTATAGGATGTTTAATAGAGGTAAATATAAAAAGATAGAGTTAGTTGGAAAGTAAGTAACTACTTTATTGAGGGTGAAATTTGGTTAAAAATGCTTTACATTTTTTAATGAAAAGAGTACATATTATAATAACATATTTTCTTTCTCTAGCATCTGATAGAGGGTAAAACTGAAAATTTGCAATACAAATTTAATCATATGACTTATAAATAGAATAAAAAAAAATCCTTCCCACTTTATACCCTATAAAAAGGACAAGAGGGAATATGATGTTTTTTAGTTTTATACAATATACTTTATTATGGCTGTTAAAATTTCAGTTAAATATAATTAGAAAGTTGATAAAACTCTTTTTTTTGCCAACAATAAAGCTTATTTATTATACACTTTTTACTTTAATTGGAATCATTTATCATGTTTTTTTAGCTCAAAGAACACACGCATTGCATTAAAATTAAAAATTTACTTAAGGATTTAGGTTTTGTACATTAAAGGTGTTTTAATCCAAAAGTGGACTTTTTGAAAAAATGTACAAAAAAATTGACAAAATACATTTTAACTGCATAAAAAGAGTAGTCAAATTAGTTTTTAAAAAATTTGTTTAATTTAAAAATAATTAAATAAAAGTCAATACTTTTTTATTAGCTTTCTCAGGTGTGTTGTAATTTTGGGTTTGTATTTATATATAAATTTTGTACAGCTTTGTGCACCAATTACTTGAACATTTATAACAAATCATCCATTCTAAATATGAATACAATGCTGAACTTTAATTACATTTTATAATGTCACATTTTATTAAATCAAATTATGTGTATTTTGTGATAGAGAAGAAATGTGCATGTGTGTATCAATTGAACAAGGAGGTCAAAGCTTCAAGGAGTCACACGGAGGCAAGATGATAATGATGATATCTAACTAAATTCTCAATAGAATCCTAAAAAAGAGTTGATGAAAGAGGAGCATCGTTGATCATTCTTGGCTAAAATCATTCTAATTCTCATCTTGTCTCATTTTAATTGGTATATTATGATTTTAGTTGAATTGTTCATTTTGGCTTTAGAATCATAGTTGGATGATAATGATTGTAATTATATGAGATTGTTGACTTGTTTTCTTCCTCTTTTACTCTTGGTTAATTCAAGCATCATGTGAATTTTACATATAAATGTGTTTTTTCAATTGATGACGATGTTGCATTAATTCTATATGATTGTATTTGATTAGTGTTTGATCAAATGCTTGAATTATATAGTTGTGTGCTTTGGCAATCTAGAAACCGTTGCTGTAAGAGGGAGGATTCAACAAAACACTCGATCAATTTTTAAGCCATTGAGATAACCTAAAGGCTTGTATTGATGTCTTAGGAATTGAATTAGTTAAGTTGCCTAAGATAGTTGTCTAGGGTGATTATATTTTCAGCCAAGAGGGCAAGAAACAAGTGAGTTGCCATAATCCATTTAAAAGCAATGATGCTTCCATTAACAATTTCCTGGGGTTCTTAATTGATGAAAGAATTTCCATCCCACACACACTTTAGTTTAGTTTGCAATTTAATTCTATTCACTAGGTAATTAGATAACACAATTCAATCAATTGGGTTAATCTATGCACTTAATTTTCTTAATTAAGAAGCTTATGTCACCTCCTTGTGAGAAAACCTAAGATTGACCTAGATACTATATGTAAGTTAATTTTAGTTTTTTTTTTTTGAGGGTGTGCTATAGCCTGACCAAAAGTCACATTTTTTTTTTGGATATCAATCAACTATCACTTCTTAAAAATTGTGAAATTAATTAAATTTTTGAATTTGTAGATGTTTTTTGT